CATAATCTGAAGTTTTTGACTGTCCATCCCTTTCACTTTTAATTTAAAAGCTTTATTATGATTCTGATGTTTCCTTAAAATCATTATCACTTTATAATTCAAAATTCATTAGTACTGCTCTTAATACACAACCTAAGAAGCCATCAAAGTCAGGCTGGTAAGAAGCATTTGTCTTCTACTCTGCAGAAGCTTAAAAGCCCCTGACAACTGAGAGGCCAAACCACAATCAAAACATGGACCAGCAACAGTAATACTTCCTCTTGATTGCTACCTTCAAAACTGCCTACCCTGCAGTGTAAACAAAGATAATATGTGCAAAACTCAACTTGTCAATGGTGAGATAGGAGACATGTTGAACTACTGTGTCCACATGTTTGAAAACTGAAAGTTTCTGCCTACGCATTTCAATATTACTGTGACAAGCTCAAATAGGCTCTTCTGGTCATCAGACCTACCGAATGCCACAGAGAAGAGCTCAAAGGACGAGCTTCCGTATCTTAAAACCAATCTACTGAATACATATGGTAACCTTTTAATTTACTATACATTTCTCAAAAAAGTCAGAAGAACTGAACACAAGTTACGGATTTCCTTACTACTATCCATTTTACATCGGTACAAAAGATTGTGGACTGCCTAATTATAAAACTGCAAATACATGGATCTGTATATGCCTGCAAAAATAGTAATCACTTGTTCTAAATATCACTGTCTAAAGAATTTCTTAAAAGATTACACAGCATCTGAAAGGAAAAACAGACAAAGAGATTCTTCAAAGATCTCATTGGAAAGATGACCAAGCAAAGGTCATCAACACTTCTCATCAGTATGACACATTCTGTGTTCATAAATAAAGTTCAGCAAAATATTTAAGAACTGTTTACTGTTTTGAGAGAGACACATCAAACTGATGAATGCAATGTGTGTGTGTTCAGTTATGAGCCAGTTTTAAAATGTCAGCACCAAAAAACATTTTTTAGTACTGAAGTGGCTATCTCACATAATGTAAAAGCCAGGCATGACAGTACATGCCTGTAATTCCAACTACTTGGGAGGCTGAGGAAGAAAAATCACAAATTTGAGGCCAGCATAAGCAACTTAGTAAGGCTCTTGGCAAATCTCAAAATGGAACTGGTAATAGATTCCAGTAGTCAGTGGTCACCTAGCATGCTCAGCCTGGGTTAAAACCCCAGTAATATAAGAAAGAAAAAAGCCTGAAATGACAGGATTAAAAGAAAAAATACAGAATTAGTTTTTAAACAGAGTATTATGCTTCACTGTCACAATGGCTTAGGAGCCTGAGTGTGCCTGGGTGGCTGTGCAGGTGCGTGCTTGGACTCTACATGTAGCCCCATGTCACTTCACCTCTAATGCTGCTCTCCTGCTGTTTCCCTGCCACCCTCAATTAAGCAGTTTTGCTGTGCTATATTCTTCTGCCATGACCTTCCTGCCACAGAACAGTCAGCTGTGGACTGAACCCTCTGAAAACATGAGTCAAATGAATCTCTCCTTGTTTAAATGGTGGGTACAAGTAAATCTGACTAATGTAAGAGGTAATAATAGTTTTAAAATGAATGGGTACATTTTTGACTGTTACAATGTTTTGATTGTTACAATGATTCTGAGGACTAGGGATACTGAATGCTCAGAAATGATTATGCACAGTCCAGGAAAAAAACAATGGTTGTTTTATGTCTGCCCTGTCATTCAAGTGTCCTACTAGTCATTTATAAAGATGAAAAAACTGTAACCAAGTAAGTCTAGAAACTAATCCTACCATCCATATTTTTGCAATGTATTTTTATCCAACTGAAAATTTCAAGCATTATTAGTATCTACTGTGTAAATCAAAGTTAAGATTACTTTTTTTTTTTTTGTCTTTTTCGTTTTTATCAGTACCAGGGATCGAACTCATGACTGCACACTTACAAGGCAGGCGCTTATGCCACTGAGCTAAATCCCCAGTCCCAAGATTACTTTTTGTCTTTAGAGTCTCCTTGTCATTCAGGAATCCACATCAACACTGACAGTAATGTTTTTGGAGCTGAGTTAACAACACACACCACTTCCTTTCTACAGTGTATGGTGCTCCATTCACAGTTATTTACAATTGGTACAAACTCCCCCATACTTCATTTTTTCTTACTGCATAGTCAGGCTCAAGTATTAGCACTTGAAAAACAAAAAAGGTGGTTTCTTTTATATTCAGTGAGGATACCACTGATTCAAGAAGATTATGGAGAATGACTATTAAAGGACACTAGTAAAATCTCAGTAAAATATTTTTAGCTACCACTGTACTAACACTGGTTTCTTAGTTATAACACATGTACTATAGAAATGAAAGATGTTAAAATTAAGGAAGCTAGGCATGTTGGTGCATGCCTATAATTTCAACTCTCAGGAGGCTGAGGCAGCAGGATCATCATGAGTTTGGGGCCAGCCTAGTTTATAGGGTGAGTTCAAGGTCTGCCTGGATCACACAGCAAGGTCTTATCTGAAAAAAAAATCAATCACATTAAAAAAGTAGGGCAAACAGTGAGGATTGCATGTGCAATCATTGAAACAGTTTTTCAAATCTAAAACTTTTCTAGTAAGATTATATAAAATGTTTATGTTTTAGGGATGCTTAAGATTTCAACTGTAGATTATGTCATTTCTGTTAGTGTTAATAAACTTAAACTGTTAGGTTAAACTACTAGAGATTTTCGTATGTGAATGACAGCTAAATATTAACAAGTTTATATAGTTCAAATCAAAATAGTTTGGGTCTAGTTAAATGAACTGCTTACAGAACCGAGATAAAAAGCATGTTTATTTGTTTTGGTTCTGAAGACGGAAGCCAGGCCTTGAAATAAATATAGTTTTTATTTTTGATAACAAATACTTTTTTCTCTTTTCCTATTCATTTTTATTAGCACATATTTGCCATACTTAATGATCACATTCATCATAGGGACTTTATTGTACATAATATATCTTGATTCTTTTTTTCCCATTTTCCTCCCCTTTCAATTCTTCTTCCCCCTCCCATTTACAAAAGCTTTGTTTCCATTTTTTTCCTTTCTTAAAATTTCTTTCCCTTTCCTTCCTTCCCCCCTCCCTATTCTTCTTCCCATTTGAACATGTTCTTCCTCTTTCACAATATCTATCCTTTGTTTTGCTCTTTGGTGCTTCTCGCACAAGAGAAGCAATATGGTATCTGAATTTTTGTGACTGATTTTACTTAAAATTATAGTTTTGAGGTGCATCCATTTTCCCACAAATAACTCAGGTTTATTCTGATTCATGAGAGAGTACAACTCCATTGTATCTAAATACCATATTTTTAAAATCCATTCATTTGTTGATGGGCATATGGGCTCTTTCCGAGATTCAGTTATTATAAGTTGTGCTGCTATAAACATGGATGTGCATATATTATTGTGGTATGATAGTTTTAGCTCTTTTGGAAAGATACCTAGAAGTGAAACATCTGGGTCAAATGGAACATCCAGTTTCAGTTTCTTAAGGAATCTCTATACAGATTTTCATAGTCTTTGCACCAGACTATACTTCTAATAGTGAAGGGTTCTTTTTCCCCCGTAGCCTCGCTAGCATTTGTTACTGGTTGAAATCTTGATGATAGCTGTTCTTTCTGGAGTGAGATGGAATCTCGATGTTGTTTTAGTCCGCTTTTTGCCAGTATTTTGCATTTTTCTCCATGTTTATTGCTGTTTCTTTTTCTTTATCTAAGAAGCATCTATTCATTTCAGTTGCCCATTTTTGGAATGGGTCTTTAAATTTGGGGGAGAGTCTGATTCCTTTGAGTTCTTTATAAAATCTAGATGTTATCTCTCTGTCTGAGGAGTAGCTAAAAAATTCTCCCATTTTGTGCGTGGTTTCTTTTGCTATGCTACAGATTTTTTAATCTGATGTGATCTCAGTTGCTGATCCTTCATCATATTTTCTGTGTGATCAAGGTTTTGTTTATAAAGTCTTTGCCTATATCTATGTCTTCAGAAGTTTTATTTATTCTGTCTTCAGAAGATTATGTATTTCTGTTTATATACATTTTGGGGGAGGTGCATACCAGGGATTGAACTCATGACCTTGTGCTTACCAGGGAAGCACTTGTGCCACTGAGCTAAATTCCTGGCCTGTATTTATATTTTTGATCCATCTTGATTTTAATTTAGTGTATGGTGAGAAATATGGGTCTTCAGTATGTGGAAAGCCAGTTTTCCCAGCACCACTTATTAATTAAAGAGGCTTTCTTTCACTGAAGGGGTTTGGTTTCTTTGTCAAAAAGAGTAGCTGAGTGTGTTTGGAGTTGTTTCTGCATCTCCTATCCGGTTCTACTAAGCTTGGGTGTTTCTTTGCCATGTTGTTTTTTTATTGTGGTAGCTTTGAAGTATACTTTCAAACTGGGGATTGTGATGCCCCCTGTTTTGCCACTGTGACCCAGAATTGGTTCTGCTAGTCTACATCTCTTCTGGTTCCAGATGAATTTGAGGTCTGTTTAAAGAAATCAGTTTTAATCCACCGCACACATACTTTTCCCTTGAACAATTCTCTGCATGGTTATTTTATGTGATATTAACTTGAGCTTAATAAAAGGAGGTGCTAAAATATTTATTTTTAGAAAATGAGTAAAGGGTATGAGAAGGCTGAAAATTGCTGTTCCTCAAAAAAGCCTTAATAAGAGGAGATCAATTACAGCATAGCTTATCTGTGAACCTCACACCAAACTTCTATGAAGAAAGAAGGAATGAATAAGGAAGAGCACAGCATTTGTTACCTTTCCTTTTTGATAATCTTACTTTTTTCACCACAAGCATTCTATATTCAGCGAAGTTCTTTCCGGGGGTGAAGATAGGTTGTGAAAGAGGTTATGATAAAAAACTCTTTCTGCAGACTTTCAAAATTCTTGAACATGTTCAGGTTTGGAAGAAATATGTTAAGGAGAGAAACCTGACAAAAATAGTAATTGGTAGGTTTATCAAAAAGGAATCACTCACCTGTGCACAGATCTGATGCATCACATGACCAAATTCATGGAAGTAAGTCCTGACTTCATCGTGTCTGAGGAGAGAGGGGCGACCTGCCACGGGCTGCGAGAAGTTCACCACGAGGGCAGCCACAGACATCATCCGGGTGCCATCTGGGAGAAGACAGCCTGGCTGGAGACCAAAGCAGGCGGCATGATTATATTTTCCTTCCCTGGGAACAAAAAACACACAATAGTAAGAAGTGAAAGCCTTTTTCTAGCAACAACACTGACATGGCCTTTCCCGGTCATTAAGTGTTACACCTGGTATGAGGACTTTTAAACATTTAATTTACCTTTCAGATAGTAGCATATTTTGCAAAATGGAAAAACTAAGTGAACAATAATCCCATTATCACTTGGAGTTATAGCTCCAAGATTTCTTCTGTTGAGAAATCTTAATGTTAAATGAATGTATATCACATCCAGTGTGCACTCACCTTTTTTTTTCTGAGACAGGGTCTTACATTCTTTATTGTGCAGACTGGCTTAGAACTCATGATTCTCCTGCCTCAGCCTCCTGAGTACTGGGATTACATGCATGTGTTTCCATGCCAAGCCCCTAATATCCTATTTGTGTGTGTGTGTGTGTGTGTGTGTGTGTGTGTGTGTGTGTGTGTGTTGGTGAGGATCAAAACTAGGGCCTCACTTCCTAGGCAAGTGCTCTGCTGCTGACTAGAGCCCTACTGTAAGCCTGTCCAATTTACTTTAATGAGCTTCTGTTTTTCTTCTTCAGATGGAGTCATTGTTACATGACTGAAGTAAATTTAAAATAAAAGATATACCTTACATGGTGTTCAAGTAATTTTAAAATAAAAAATGAAGTGTGCCTGACTAGTTTTCTTCCTTCAAATTAGAACTGATAAAAAGCCTTATTACTTTTAGATAAGTAGGTTTTTCCTTTTATTCAAAGAGGGACGACTCAGAACTTGCAATTAAATAAACTTTTATAAACTAGGCAGCCTTTTAACAACTAAACACTTAGTTAGCCTAGGAATAAGCATATGTGATGTTATGAAGGCCTCAAGTCTTGGACAATGTGGTATCATTGGTGGTTTTTCAAAAGCTGTGTACCATTACACCACAGGCTAGGTGTAGATCTCCTCCTCCTCTTTCCCTCTGCCCCTGCTTTTTTCTTTCATAAATAACAATACATTTGGATTTCAGATGGGTTATTTTAGTTTGGTGTTTAAATTATTTCCTTTTCCTGCATTATATCTTCTTGTTGACTCCTGCTTTCCCCCCGCTGATGACAGTCAAATAAATTTTTTCCAACATCCTATTTAGATGTGTAAAAGTGGAAAGGGCATCGCACTTATCTTTACTACAACAATGCCATGGCGGACAATCTGCAAATCACAACTTGTCTTGAACCCACCAGAGAGCTAGTTTTGAAGGGCAATAGACAGTCAACTAATCCACAATCTAGGAGAGGTACCTTCAAGGAGAAGAGAGAAGGAATCAAGCCTTTTTTTTTTTTTTCTTTTTCCTTTTTAAATCTAGGGAAGACATAGAAGACCAGGAATTTTTAGCAAACTGCTAATATTATGTAGCCAAAACAGGGAACCACTAACGAAGTCTACAGACAAGAGAACTTTTGTACCCATTTTCAAGGTCTCTTCTCCAGACCTTACTAGTTACACACAAAAAAAGCCTGGGCGCAGGGTAAAAGAGCTGAGAAAGCATCAGTTGAGTAAGGGCACAGCTGCTGTGGTGAGGTATGTAATACTGCTTAGGTATTTTTTACTTGTCTCCTACAGAACAAAAACCTTAAATTTCTGGGAGAAAGGCAACACACTCTATTATTCTTAGAGCATTAGGGAAACCCCACTGCCATTTGTGGAAAGGAACAGAAAAAAAAGCCTCTATTTATGGAAAGAGAGCAGCATGAATCATGGGCTCAGCCCCACTGCTGAGGGTGAGGTGTATCACTGAACAGACCCACTCCTAAAGCCCAGGAATAGAACCCATGTGGTGATTAAGACCGATGCTTAATCACAGAGCAACAGAGAATGCCTAACCCTTAGCCAGGTTAATAAGCATCCAGTAACAAATTATAGTAGCCAACTGATGGGTGAGAACAAGATCTTGGAAGAAGATCTGTCCTGAGACAGCATAAGAGAAGACTTAAAGTGAAGGTGGGACAGACTTTGAGGAAAACTCTGACAACTTCCATCATGAATCCAAAGCAAAAATTTGAAACTTGCAGTACTCTAAAGTTAGTCATGGCAGTAATAGATACCAAACCTAGTTCAACTACTAAATGAATCCAACTCCTGCATTAAAAGTCTAGCAGAATTGGTGGTGTTGAATTGGTGGTTGCAAATTCCCCTAGTTCCTCTTTATCCTGGAAGCACCTTGTTTTTCCATCAATTTCTAGGGACAGTTGTGTAGGATATATCAATCTTGGCTTTCAAAGCTTGAATTGTTTCCCCCCACATTCTTTGTGATTTGATAGTACTGCAGGATATTCTAAAAAAGGAAAATACCAAGATTCCAGAAACAGTGGGAGAGAGGCCACAATGAATGGAGCAGAAAACGAAATGAAGAAGACAAACTGACAACAAACGACAGAAAAAGAGCTCAACAGAAATGAGGCAGAGAAGATCGGATGGTAGGAACAGCTATTTTGGGGGGGGGGCAAGGGTTGGGCTTAGGCTCTTGCCGAGGCTGGGGCTGCTCCAGAGGCACTGGTGCCAAGGACTGTGGTTGCTCCAGCTTGTGGATGCCCAGATCACCAACTTAATTGAGCACCCATGGTCTTAAGCAGCCAGGCCAGGCAGCCGAATCCTCAGAACATGCGTTTTTTAAATGAAAATGAAAGTGCAACACAATGAAATTTGTGGATACAGTGCAAATAGAGCAAACTTTAGTGCTTATATTAAAAGCTTAGATGAAAAAACAAAAACAATCATGAATCAAGGACGTGAGAAGGAAAGGCAGGCATAAGAAGGAGAAAGAAACAGTGTGCTGGATTTACTAAATTTTCAACTAGCTCAATCTCAAGGTATTCAGTGGGCACATGAATCTTTGTGGGAAGATTTCATGTAGTGAGTTGGAAATGTATAAACAGATAAAAATCTATTAATACATTTAAAAATCTTAAATAGGAAAACTACATCAATCTGGAATTAATCTGTTATTTTTTATACCTCTTGATACATCATGAAATACTATCTACACCTTTTTTGAGAGTGACATGGTGTTACTGCATCAGAGACAAAAAGCAAATTAATTTCTTCTTAAAAATCTCTGCAGAATTTTAAAAATTATAGCTAAAGATCAAGGATTTTCTGCTAATTTAAAAACCAGTACTATGAGGCATGATGGTGCATAGATGTAAGCCTAGCACTTACTTGAGGGCTAAGGCAAAAGGATCACCAGAATTCATGTACAGACTGGGCTGCACAGCCAGTGAGACCTTGTCCCAAGAACAAAATAAGACAAACCAAATCAAACCAAACCTGCCCCAAACCACAATGACATTCTCTACTATTTTTTAATCTTTTTTCCTTGAGAAATCACTTCCCTTTTTTAACTTGACTTATTTAGTTTCAAATGTTTCTTTATTCTGATTGTTTTTTTAATATTTTATTTATAAAATGATGGTGACTAAAAGAAAGTCTTTACTTGAAAATCTTATGTTGAAGTCATCATCAGCCTTGTTTTTGCTTTGTTTGAGAATCTCAGTTTTTGATGAATAAAAACTGAAATATGATTAAAAGAAAAAATAAACTGGTTTTTGAAAACCTACTCTGAATTTTTTTAACCAAATAAAATTTTTCTCATCTTTGTGAAGACAAGATGTAAGGTGACAGGAAATGATTACTAAGTAGTAGCTCATTACGCTTTCAAAAGATTAGTCTTTGGTAATGACCAGATCTCTGAATATAAAAGGAACATGGCTAAGAGACATCAAGCTAAGGTAGCAATAACTGTTACTTTGATTTTGGAAAGAGAATTTGGTAACAGTTACAGGAAGTTGCAATGTTGAAGGATTACTATTAATGAATTGTTGGCTTAAAATGGTATCCTGACACTTTTTAAATTAAAGATAAGCCCATTACATTTGGTTTTAGTTTTAGGTCAGATTGTAAGTGAAAATCCATAAAGCTTTGGGATACTGAATGACACAGTTACAGAGCCTCTTTCCCACCAACACACTCAGTGGGTTTTACACCTATACCATATGTTACTGAATAAGGATGATACTACAAATTCACTTGATCTGTTTAAGCAAAGATTAGTAATTACATCAAGTTGGCTGTGTTTTAGAAAGCAGCCTAGGGAAAAAAGACATTCAAATCCTTTGGGTTGTCTGATAAAACACTGTGGAGTCCATCATTACCACGTTATAGAAACAGTAATAATGTTTTGAATTCTTATCATTGATTAATGGGTAGGACAGGTGATTTGGATATTTGATATTTCAAGCAAATAAGTCTGTGAAGGTATTTTCAGTCCCATATTACAGAGGAATAAACAGTCTAAAATAGTTATGGTATTCAAGCATTCACACTCCAGTCTGTCTGCAGAGATTCTGCTATTCTCACTATATAATGTATTATACTGTTTCCCGCCAGACTGCGAGGAGCAGTCAGTCTGAAGCGGACTAGTAGACAGGTTATCTGAACAAAAACATTTGAGAGGACAATTTCCAATTAAGCAAATGCAGTCAATGATGATGATAACATTAGTACAGCTAATATTTACTAAGCACTTGCTATGTGTTTGAGAGTCTTCTAAATACTTTGTATGTAATTAACTAATTTAATTTTGATAGTAAACCTACAAAGCAGGTGCTATTAATATTTTTATTTCAGCAGCCCTATATTATATAGGTAAGGACACTGAGCCACAGAAAACTTAAATCACTTGCTCAGTAAGTGATGAAATCAGACATTCTGACTTCAGAGCCGATATTTTAAACCCCTTTACTAAGAACTACACACAGGAAATAGAAAGCATGTCTTAATGTCCAAGGCCCTTCCAAACATGTGATCATCAGTACCTTGGATAGAGGTCCAAGTAGAACTGTCCCAATACTTCTCCAGTAGCTTTATCCTTCACATTGTAAAGTGTAACACTTTGATTCCAAACATGAGCATCTGTCACTTGCTCAAATGAAAGTCCCAACAATTCTTGGTAGATACTCAGCAAGCCTTCGGTGACTACCTCAATGGGGAAGTATTCTTTGAGGAACTCTTGATCTATACAGTACTTGAGTTCTTCCGTTCGAGTCATGTAGTAGTGTAGGTCCCAGGCATTGATTTTCCCATCATACTCAAAACCTCTCTCTTCACATTCTCTTTTCTTCAGATTCAAAATAAACTCTCGTTCAGCCTCACCCAATGGTTTTAATTTCTGGCTTAAATCATCTAGGAAGGTAAAAAGGAAAAGTTAGCAGTCTATTGCTCTTGGGAAGAAGCACACCAGTGCTTTAGCATGGCACTAAAAGACACCAGGAGGAAGAAGGGACAAGAACAAGCTCACATATGACAGATTTTCCTTTCTAGACTGATGTATTGACACCTTGTCAGTGTTTCTTTTAGCACCAGCAAACTTGGCAATGCCCTCTTTATAGTATCAACAAAAAAATGAATTTCACCTCAGACTCAGTGTTGTAATTAAGGAAGAAAAACAAACTACTCTTATGTGCATAATGTTTTTCAATGAGGCTAAGCTCCTAACAAAGCTACAGGAAACAAATTACATATGACCTGTGGTCAACATTATCTATAAAGTGTTCAACACATTCGATAGTCATGGGTTTAGTTCTTCACCATGAATGGGAAGAGGGACGATTTGGATACATCAATCCTGGATGTAAGCTGGAGACATTTCTGGGAACAACAATATATATACTGTGGTCAATTTCTGGGCATTTTTTAATTTAGTTAAATAAATATGCTCAATGTATTTTTCACAATTTGTTACATATGTTAAGATGAGAATGTGCGTAGGTCTATAAGGGAAATGGTACTTTAGATACAGCTTCACAGTGAGAGGGAGGCTGCAGCCAGAGAGGACTGCTGTATTCTCACAAGGGACACAAAGAGATATGGTTTTCACTAGGCTTGTGAGAGTATATGCAATACAGACGGCAAGAGTGTAAATCATATGAGAATATGCCCACTTCAAATTAGAAAGAAAACTACCATAAAAAAAGTAAGTGAATCAAGGAGCGCTACAGAAACTTTTTATCAGTGCGATCACCAGTAAAGGAAGCATTCTCACAAACCTGTTAAGGCCCTTACCCATCCTCTTGTATAACATGTGTCTGACTATATGGCAATCACCTGTTCACTTCTCTGTTGCTCCCACTAAGCAAAAAATCATTGCGGAAAGGCCTTTGTTTTATTTCTTTTAGCACATTACCTAAAATTACATAATTATTCATAAATGTCTCATGAGTAATTCTATGATGATAGATATATTATCATTGATGAAGCATCTGTTATAAGGCATATATGATTCCAGCACATATATTAGTAAGGTAAGATATGGCCACTTAAGGAAAGAATTGAGTAAATTTTTGGTTAAAGACTGATTTTTAATACATTATTGTTTGCAACTTAATTATGGTGGTAAAGACATAACAAAGCAATGAATACTTTGAGAACATTTAGTCATGAACATATACTTTCCTTTTTTGAGAGAGGGTTTTGTTATGCAGTTTAGGCTGGTCTTGAACTCACTTTGCAGCCAGGCTGACCTTGAACTCACAGCACTCCTCCTGCCTCAGCCTTGTGAGTGCTGAGATTACAGGTCTGCACCACCATGCTGGCTAGACATATAGTTTCAAAAGTATTTATGAAAAAGGAATGTAAATCTAGTTACTAGTATTGAAGTTTGCTATTTTATATTACTTTCACATCTTAATAAGTAGTACCTTATTAGTATGTATACTTTTATTTATATATGTTCTGTTTTCATTTACATGATATATGCTGGTTTATTTCATACAGATTCCTAAGTAGCCATGCCATCTCTAGTGAACACCTAGAAGCAGTAAATAAAGGCTGTGAGCTAACGCTCTCTTTTAGCACTGTAAATGGCACGTGAGGAAACAGTATAAATACCCAAAAAAAGATACTGCAAGACAGGATGAAGCAAGGGCTAAAATGGTAACATAAACAATCAAACTGATATGATACAGCAGGATAGCCATGGGGAGAGGGAATAACAGAAACCACACAATTGTTTTAAAAAGAACAACTAACCTAGAAAGGCCGTCACACGGCTTGTGCTCTTGGCAGTGTTCATTTCAAGGACAAAGTCAGCATGTGTATTATAGCCCAGGAGTTTGGCCACTTGGGCCCGCAGTGGGAGTAGCTGCTGCAGAATTAGGGTGTTTTCCTAGTAATAAGCAACAAAACAAAGCTTAACAATTAATTGGACAAAAAACACTAAAACAAGAGTTTTCACATTTTTGGACTTATAAAACTGTCAATCTTTTTTTGAGATAGGGTTTCACCATGCAGTTCAAGCTGTACTTGAACTATGTAGCCCAGACTGGCCTCAAACTTGAGGTGATCCTACTGCCTCCACCTCCTGAGTGCTAAGATTATAAGAATGTACCAAACTGTCAAAAAATTTTTTTAGAACATCTAAACTACTAGTTTCCTTTCAGGGTCGAACTTTTTTTAATAATAGAATTTTGTTTCTGAAAAAAATTTGAACATTTTAAACCTCAAGAGACAGCTATAGTTATGAGTTTCTTAATAAACTTTGAGGTATCATAAATAAAGTAAAAATACATTTTAATAGTGATTTTCATTCATTCTCATTACACCCAATATTGGTACTTGATTATTTTTAAGATATCATACAGTCATATATATATATATATATATATATATATACATATATATAATATATATGTATATATATATATACATATATACAAAATATATGTATATATATATACATATATATATATACACACACACACACATATATATCCATCAGTTCAACCAATGAATCTGATTTGGTTCTTGTTCAATTCAGTCTGTGACCATAATTATGGAAAAAAATTTGTGAATTGTGTGTGTATATATATCTATATATGAGGTACCACTGTGTATACATATATGCATGTATACAGGAAACCAAATATGTGTGCACATGTATATGTGTAAATGTGTGTGTGTGTGTATATATATATATATATATATATATGTGTGTGTGTATATATATATATATATATATGGAAAATAATGTAATGGCAGGGATATAAAGAATTTGAAAACCTTATGCACTGCTGATGAGAATGTAAAATGCTGCAGCTGCTACAGAAAATAATACGGTGATTCTTCAAAAAATTGAAAAGATTTATTATAATATTCAAAATTTTATTTCTGAGTAAATATCCAAAAGAAGTGTAGAATCAAAGACAATTTGTAAACCTATGTTTATAGTGGCATTTTTATTCAAAATAGTGAAAAGATAGAAGCAACCAAAATGTCTTTTGACAGATGAATGGATCAAGAAAATGGTACAGTGCTAACTTAGGTTTACGAGCTTAATACTTTTGACAATTCTGGTTGCAAACTGATTCAAATTCAATGGTTAGGCTCAATGCTGATCTTATGGAGAAATTTGATTTGGTTCTTGTCCAAATCAGTTTGTGACTAGGAATGTGGAAAGAATTAAATTTGTGAACTGAAGCATATCTCTATCTACTTATTTATATTTATCTATATACATTTCAAACTTAAAAAGAAAAGCTATTCTGACAGACAAATGTCACAATATGGATTCGCTTTTAAGACATTGTGTTAAAAGCTGGGTGTGGTGGTGCAGGCCTGTAATCCTAGCATTTAGGAGGTTGAGGCAGGAGGATCACTGCTAGTTGGAGGCCAGCCGGGGCTATAAAGTGAGTTCAAGGCCAGCCTGAACTGCATAACAAAACCTTCTCTGGAAAAGACACACACACAAAAGACACTATGTTAAGTAAAATATGCCAGTCACAAAAGGATATTCTGTATGATTTCATTTGTATGAGGTTGCTGAGTAGTCAAACTCTTTGAAATACAAAATGGGATGATGGTTGCCAGGGGCTGCTGGCATAAGAGAAAGGGCAGGAATGTTTAATGAATACAGAGTTCCAGTTAGCAAGCATGAAAAAGTCTTGTGGCTGGCTGGTGGTAGTCGCAGAACAGTGTAAATATACCTAATGCCACATGCTATGGTCTGCATGTTCTAAAACTTAAGGGTTAGAAACTTAACTTGAATTGTGGCACTGAGAGAGAGCATTGCTGGGCAAGTGATTTAAGTCATGAGAGCTCTAGCCTCACAAATGGGTTAGTTCCTATGAAAGGCTGGATTGAGGCCACATAGGCCCTTTTGCCCTTCCACCATGTGAAGGAACACTATTCTGTCCCTCCTCCCCCTTTTGAGCTCATGCCAGAGCTGTGCTTTTGGATTTCTCAGCCTCCAGAACTATTCAAAGTATGTATGTACTGTTTACATTTTGTTTTTTGCTTGAGACAGGGTCTCTTGCTATGCAGTTCAGGCTGGTTTTGATCTCATTATGTAGCCCAGGTTGGCTTGGAACTCCCAGAGATCCTCCTGCCCCAGCCGTATGCATTCCCTTATGCTTTCTGAGCTTCAACTTTCTCATCTCTCTCTTTTCTCATCCATCTCATCTCATTAATTATTTATATAAGGTGGTCATGAAGATTCAAATGAGAATATATTGAAAGTCCTTACAAAAATTGCAAGCAGGAGGACTGGGGGTTTAGCTCAGCGGCATAAGTGCCTGCCTTGCAAGCACACAGTTGTGAGTTAGATCCCCAATACCAAAAAACAAAACAAAACAAAACCAAAAAAAAAAAAAAAAAACCTAAGTGAATGTTTAAATTTTGGGCTGGGGATTTAGCTCAGCAGCATAAGCGCCTGCCTGCCAAATGTGAAGTCATGAGTTTGATCCCCGGTACAAAAAAAAAAAAAATTGCAAGCACTATGTAACTTGTTATTAATGAAACAGGGCTTCACTAACTAGTTCAGGCTGGTCTTGAACTCACTATGCAGGCTGGCCAAAGCTTGTGGCATTCCCCATCCTGACCACTGGGATTACAAATGTGTGCTATCACTTGGTAGGATAAATTCTGTTTTTTGAGACAGGGTCTCACTATGTAATTCAGGCTGGCTTGGAATTTGATAGTTCTCCTATCCCAGCCTCCTGAGTTCTGGAATTACGGACATGTGTCATCACACCCGGAAATATTATTTTAAAATCAGAATGGAGAGGCTGGCCCGATGGCTCATGTCTGTCATCCCAGTACTCAGGAGGCAGGAGGACTGGATCACCCATGAGTTCAAGGCCAGCCTGCATTATATAGTGAGGCCTTGTCTCAAAAATATAAACACAAACACAGAAAAGAATGAAAACATGCATAAGAAAGCACATACAACATCATTCTCCAAGTTCTAAAATTAACTAGTTTGAATTTTCTCTTGTTTTTTTGGTTTCTGTAGATATTCTTGTTAGACTGCTAATTTTCTCCCAATATCTATCCTCCCATTCTTCTTTTTAGTAAAAGAGCTCTGAGTTTTTGCTGGACATATGATTACCTAGCTGCCTTTCCCAGGCTTTCTGGTGTCTATTAATATGTGGTCGTGTGACACTCAGTGGAACAATGAAGTCTGAATGAAGTGATGAGTGCAATTTCTGTGTCATCTCTTTACAGGTGCTTGTCTTGTTAACTGTGAACTGAAGATGACAATGACCTTAGAAGTTACATACTGAGTACGGCCAAGCTGTCCTCCAGCTCAGGATTACTCATTTCTCAAGTTCCAAGAGAAATCTTTGCAAAAGTTGTGGTACGATATATATACCTTAATGGTTAAAATAATATATAATTAAGTATAAAATTCAGTGCTGTTAATTATATTCACATTGTTGTGCAACTATTACGACTGTATTTCCAGCTAAAACTTCCTCATTACCCCAAGCAGAAACTCTAAGCATTAAAAGCAACTCCTCAGGCTCCCTAACTCCATTCTCTGGTAACCTCTAACCTACTTTCTGAAGAGAATTAACTTTTTACCTTGAGTCACTATGCTTTTGAATGGTTCAGCTGCTTAGCCTATACCCTGCTACAGAGATTGATAGCGGGGATAGGGTGCTATGATGGAAGTGAAAAGGAAGAGCAGAATGGAAAGTAAGTACATTAAGGCTGCAGGCTGGGAAGCTGCTGATGTTTATTATGCACAGAGAACATGTATTAACGCTGCTGTTATACTTAGAAAACAGGCCAGATAACTACCGAGGAGTAGCTCTAAGGGAGTCCTTTGTGGAAACTATTTTTGTTAGCATGTGTGTTTGTTGGTGTGCTGATTGTTATGTGAGATATGAGTTCATGTAAGAACTGGCCAGTTTGCAAAGACAGGAGGAAAAGAATTCTGCTGAGGGAGATTGTGCCTGTGGCCTACAATATGGGGCTTCAGATAGTTGAAAACTCAGTTCTATATCCCTAAAATTACCAGAAAAGATGTCATTCTGAGTTAGTAAACCATAGAAACTAGTTTGAAAACACTGCCTTCTTACTCAAGCCTTCTTTTCAAGGGAATCAAAAGCAGACAATATTAAATTGAGAAAGAGAAGAATGGCAAAATATAAAGTCAGTATATGAGATACAGCAGTTTTAAGAACTATGACCAAAAGGAATATTTGGGCATGGTTATTTTAACAAGAATCTGACTAGAAACAAAGGAACAAAACATTATGTAACCCAGATTGGCCTTGAATTTATGGCAATTCTCCTGCCTCTGCTTCTCAAGTGCAGGACTTATAGGTGTATGCCATGATTCTTGGCTCTGAAATTAAGTTCTTGAAGGAATTTTATTACCCAAAAATGATTCGAGTCTAGCCTATGAAATTTTATGTTTATTTGAATCATAAATCATCCCTTATACTTCAAACTGAATCCAACTCATAAACTGAATCATGACAGAAAGCAGACCCCAGTAAGTCCAACAGGGTTAAACAAGGGACTTCAGAAGAACATGTTATCCTCCTAAGTCCTGTCAAACAGGTTCAAAAACTGTCTGCTATGTTTTCTACTCTTTCCTTTTTCTAATGGGATTTTTACCATGGTTATTCCATTCTTATTCTACTCCTGGATGTGGTTTGGGGTTAGGAGGCTGTTAATGTGGCATTCCATTCACAGAGTACTAGATGATGAGAAGCTGTAACTGGGAAGAACTGTGTATCACTCAGAGATATTGGTATTTAAACTAGTTCGAGGCAGTAACAGGCTAGGAACTGATAAATGGTTCTATAACAGAAGGAAACAAATAAACGAAATGAGATGGGAGGCCCTTCCTTGTGGTAACCTGGGTAGTCAGTGAGAAAGAATACGGTGGAATGGGCTAGTTGACGCAGTATTCAGTTATCTTTTTTTCTTTTAGTAAAATCTTTAGCTGAGTAATGACTGTTAACTAAAGACTACATTTTCCAGCTTCTCTTGAGCTAGATAAGCTATATGATTCAATGTGGTTGTCAATGGATTTGTGTATAGATGGCATTTCTAGGCCTTGCCCTTGAAGACAGTTTGTAGACCCACTGTACCGTCCCCAACCCCCATATTCCCAAGGAACTAAGGAATACTCATTTCTAGGAATGACCTTGGAAGTCACTTGTTGAGGAGAGACAGCAATCTTAAAGGCCCTGGGCTTCTGCCCTGGGGAAGGACTACAACTTCTAGTTAACTTAACCCATTCTCCTTTTATTAGAACAACTTAGCCTGGGTCTACAAGAGCAGACTGCTAATAAGCAAAACAAAAGCTAAAAGTCTTAGGAGTTATACACCACACAGACACACACACACACACACACACACACACACACACACACACACACACAGAGACGCGCGCGCGCACACACACAGAGGAATATCACATTCTGAGATGACTTCAATATTGATGAGCAAAACAGATCTTTTCCCGAAAATCTTCCATAAAAATAAAAGAAGGACAAACATTTGTGGTACCTCTTTGCATCTTGTATTAAAAGCCATTTCCATCCTCCTTCTGGTTTCAGGAACACAACATTTCTTCATGACAGGAAAATAGTGTGGATATTTTAAGGTGATTTTATACTTGCCATCATCTGTCTTTTCTAAACTGTCAATGAAATCATCAGGAAGAGCACCTGCAAAAAGTCATTTTCTCATACTTCTATTCTCCCAACTAATTATTGGTTTATTTAGTATTGGTACCGTACCTTTAAGCAGCTCTAGGAAAAGTGATGGAGTAACTGAAATTCAAGTAAAATAATGACAATCTTTATAATTTCATTTTGATTTTACTGGAATGGGGGTGATGTTGAGAGGGCAGGTGGCTCAAAAGATGGTATTAACAGGCTGCAGAGCACAGTGCAGATGGTGTTTTGAAGGCAAACAGACAAAACTGAGCCAAGAAAGGCCCTGGATAGAAGTTTAAGTTCAATGCAGGGGACATCATGGCAGAAACACTTTCAAGGTTCTAAAGGCTATTGGTCACTAGGGTAAGTTAACAAGAAAGATTCAAGGGGAAAGTGTTATGAAATCTCCCCTGGTTTCTTCATAGAAATAGTATACAGTCTCTTATCAGCCTAAAGTCTAATTGTGGCTGCTCTGTTTGTCTTTTTCATAGCAAGAGTAATATGTTTAGTTGTTGGGTCATTTTTAAATTAATGTTTAAAACTCTGATATAGTTATTTTATCTGGAAAGCATAACAAATTATGAGGTAACATTACTTGCATAAATTACTTAATTTAACGTAGATAAGTAACAGAATTTTACCAAGTTCAGCCTTGGAAAACACAAGGAGAGTGTCATCCTCATTGAGGTTTTTGTTAAAGTCAATACATAGTTCACTCATTCTTTTCTTTATTGATTTGATTTCCTGAAATGAAGAAAAATATACAGAACATTAATAATAAAAAGGAGCTTTCATTTTTACTGCCATCAGGCAAGTACATTTCACCTTTATATGGTGACTAGACTCTGTATCCAACCCTCAGAAAGTACTTTCCAGAGATGTGTTTGGAAAAGCAGCAATTGGCAGTCTTCTGTGTCATGCTCACAATATCTGTGTGTAGTGCTTACAGAAAGACAAACTGGGGATATACTAGGATTGGTTGTAAATTTGAGGAACTAAATAAATTAAGGAGTTACAGTAAAAGCAGTATCTGGTACACTGTGCACATAAACAGTTGCTAAGTGAATGAAGAATCTAATGACCCATTAATGAGTGTGTTTAAAAATTTCAATTTAGTACCCAATGTCCAGTACCTAAATAAACCAAAAGATAAGAACTGCATAATTGTTAGGTTGATTTGGAAAAAAGGTAGTGTCTTAATTTTACTGAGCTTTAGTAAACTGAAGTAATTTAGGGATCCTATCATTTGCATAAAAAGTGTTTAAGTGAACAAAAAGTAAGCAATAAGAAATCACGAGAAAATTTTATATTAATCTGCCCCAATCTTCCCAGAATGCCAGGAAATTACATTTACTTAAACAGGCTCTCAAAGTGTAGCCCTGCACAGGAGGACTGGCATCACGGTGGAACTGTAGTTGCTCAGGCCACCACACTAGCCTGATGGAAACAAACTCTTGGGAGTAGGTGACTATGATCAGTTTCAGTAAGTTCTCTTGGTAATTCTGATGTACACTAAATTTGAGATTTCTGTGTAGGTGCATATTGTTCAATGTTGTTTTGGACACTTTGATTGACTCTCCAACTCCTTTCTCATTTTTTCAAAATTGTTTTTGGAGTCAGGGTCCCACTATGCAGTCCAGGCCAGTTCTTAACTCACTAGGTAGCCCAGCCTGGCCTTAAAATAGCGGTGATCCATCTGCTTTAGCTTACCAAGTGCTAGGACTACAAGTGTATGCCATCACTCCTGCCTTCCTTTTTCATTTCTTTCCTACTTTGTAGTCCTGTAGTTTGGTTTTTTTCTGTTGCTGGTTTTTCTTTTTGAGACAGGCTGTTACTTGAACTCATTATCTAGCCTAGGCTAGCCTCAAACTTGCAGTGATCCTCTTGCCTCTGCCTCCCTAGTGCTGGGATTACAGGTATGTGCCGCCATCCCAGGTCATGTAGTCTGGACAGAAAACATCAGTTAGATAATCACTTCATCCCCATCACAGTGACTAGGTCAGATAATCCAGGCCTAGTATTTCCCTTACTAATATTAGCTGAAAAATTATTAGGTGAGAGATCCAAGGAGGTAATAAGGAAACTATAAGGAAAAATTTGAAATAATTTTTAGTCTGTAACACTCTTCTGTAATTCTAGATAATGAAATTTAATTAAATCACACTCACTGATTCTTAAAGTGGGGTCCTGCTGAGAAGAATCAGCTTCTGATTGGGGACTCAGTATTAGGTACAAGGATCCAAGCTGGGTCAAGACATGAGGAGAATTTTGATGGGGGCTTCTCTATGTCTTTCTTTTTTTTAGATTCATAGCCGTTTTAGTAATATAAGAAAGTAGCCTTTGAGAAACACCATGTGATAGTTAATTGATTGTGTCAACTTGAGTAAGAAATGCATAACTAAATTGGCTCAACAAATTTCTGGGTGTGGAGAACAACCCTACGGAAGATTGTAACCAGAAGAGTATAAAAGGGAAATGAAGAAGGAAGGGTTGCTTCTGTTTCTTCAGTGGAGCTCTAGACTTCACCTTCACGTTGGCCATCATCTCTTGGCTTCCAGTGCAGATGTTTCAGCCTTTCAGTATGGATGCTTCACTGTTTCATCACAGATCATTTGGCCTCGTAATTTGGACTTGGCATAGCAGATTACACTGAGCTTCAGGCCTTTGACTAGACTTTTCAGATCTATAGCAAGAAGGTAGATCTTTTACACTCTTCCACAGTGGACTCTGTGGGCCACTGTAAGCAAACCTTGTAAAGTCTTACACATTCATATATCTTGCATTAAATGTTTCACTAGTAAGCACTGACTGCTCCACACCACCACTGAAGAGGATAGAGCAGAGAAACAGAAAAAATTCAGGCCACCAGAGGCACCACTGTGCATCTAGATCCACCTAAACCAGGAAACTCATCTACATCTGGACTTCATAGTTACATAAGCAACAAAATCTCTTCTATTGTTTAAAGGAGATTTTATTAGCTACAACCAAACACAGCTTAACTTTAGAGTGCTCATGTCTGAAAGAGAACTTAAGATTGACTGGGAAGGCACAGTCATGGAAGTCTGGTAATTTTTCTTCTCTAGTTAGGATGAAGAGGGTACCAAGTGATCAAAGGGCATTCAGGTGGGAAAATGGCACCCATAGCTCAGTGGTGCCTACAGTTATGGCTACCATGATGACATTATATGGTTTGGATTTCTTTCAAACTGATTTCCAGTTCTTCTGTCTAGAAGAATGATCTAGAAATAAATCATGGTTTATATTTCCTATTTAAGAGGAATGAGGTTAATTATAAAGCTGAGTTTACTGCTAAATCTGGAAGAAGACATGATTGGCTTCAGACAAAAGGAAAAGTCTGAGAGGCCTTTTTCAGCAGCTAATCTCTACTTTTTAAGGTACTATCTTAATCATAGAGTATTCCATTCCAAAGTGCTGCTTTAAAACTCTCCATCAATAAGGATTTTACTGCCAGTGTTCTATCTCTGTATGATCAAAGAAGGAACAATATAAATCAACTATTAATATTTGGAACTAACAAAGAATATGAAATAGAGTAGGGGAAATAAGTCCAACACTGTAACAAATAAAACTTGGACAGGATTAAAGAAAAATTGTCTGTCAGTCATGAGGAGGGTAAAAGGAGTTACAGGACAAAGCATTAAAGACCAGACACTGCAAATAGATTAGCACTATGAGTTATTTTATTATAGCTTATCTATTTCCCTACTTCTTGATTTTTATTGTAGTTTATTCTTTTTTTCCCATTAAGAAAAGGAAACATTAACTCACATTCTGTACTTGTTCTGGAAGATGAAGTCCATTCCTTTTTCCCATTTTAACTGACTTTTCCAAGTATCGTCTAGCTTCCGGCTTTATCTGCTCCAAATCACAGGTTTCCTGAAATTAATATAAATGACAACCATTTTTGTTGCACTAGTACAAGGGTAAATTACAAACTATGAGGCCAAAAAATTTATTTGTCATCTCTTTTGGATTACAAAGTACATAAGGGATTATGAGGCAGGCCCTTTTGAAGACAATTTATTTTATGCTTTATTGAACTTCTGCTCATTTAAAACAGAAATGTTAAATAAATAAAAATCTAACCAGAATTTCCTTGCCTTGCCTCAGAGTCAATATGGACTGTACCACTGGAAGGCATGTTAACAGAAGTATTTATATAATCTCATTCTGAGCATTCTTTATGACTGAGTGGCCTTTTTCATAAACACCACAAATCATTTGGATTTAATATTCGATCATTTGCTAACCTATTTTTACTTGAGAGACATGAATAAAACTAATTGGGTAAATTCTACACAAATACAGAATGGGACAATTTTGCCAAGAAACCAAACAAGGACAGCTGGATAAAACCCCATACCAGCAAAAGGCTTCCAACACTTCAAAACTGCCTTCCTGTCGTTTGGCAAGCGAGCTCAAGAGTAGCAAGCTGCATATGAACAAGTATCTGGGAAAATGAATCAGCACTACACAAAGAAGACTAAAGCAGTTGATGGATCTGAATTATAAGCAGCAACACAACACTCACTCCAAGGGACAGAGAGCCCTAGAGGAGAATGGAAGAGTGCCCCAGCTATAGTAAGGTAGTGGAAACACTACACATTTCTCCAAAAGAGATGGTAGAATATGCATGGCACATCTGGATAAGTGGTCAGTTAGTGGTTTCTACAAGGAAATGGACTCCAGATAGATTCAGCATGTATAATGGGATCAGTTTGGGTGACAGCCAACGAGTGCCTTCTGTAACTGGAGCCTTACAGACTCTATGACCCAGCTGCCCAGGCCTGAATACTCATTTCCCAACTCATTAGCTCTTTACAAGTTTTGTTTAGCTGCACAGACCATTTTATTTTATTTTATTTTTTTTACTTTTTTGGTACCAGGAATTGAACTCAGGGCCTCATGCTTCCCAGGCAGGCACTTATGACACTGAGTTGCATTCCCAGTCTGCAGATCTATCTATCTATCTATCTATCTATCTATCTATCTATCTATCTATCTATCTATCTATCTTTTTGAGACAGGGTTCACTATGTAGTTCGGCCTGGCTTTGGGCTCATTTTGTAGCCTAGGCTAGTCTCAAACTTGCCTCAGCCTCCTGAGTGCTGGGATTACAGGAGTGCATCATCAAGTCTGGCAGCTGCAGATCATTTTAGATTCTTGGTGCTAAGCTTATGCTACAACAATTTGGTAACTTTTTTTTTTTTTTTTTTTTGCAGCAGCAGTTGGCATTTTAACTGGGAGGTATATACCATTTAGGGTAGAAACCTTACTTCACTCAGCCTACAAATAAATACCTTATGTCATAGTAATAAGGTACCCATGTATACATTATTCAAAGTTTCCTCTGAGTTTATCCTCAGTGGAGGCAAAATATAGTTAGATTACTTTTTCCACACTAACTTCCTTTTGTTTCCCTGGAGAATTTGTGTATGTGCTGGCCTGACTGGAGGTGCACCTATCCCCACCTGGTATAGGCATCCACTGGGATGTTAGAAGCAGGAGCCTACAATGGGAAGAAATCTGTAATTCCTAGGGGCTGACTGAGGTAAGGACTGGCCCCCTGAGGGATGATCGGTAATTCAAATCAGTTTTCATGCAGATGTAATTAACTTGTGTTCACTGCTTCAATAACACCAGAAAGTCTGCCTTGAAGTGTCAACCATGGCAACACGAGTCTCTAGACACTGCAGCACTGCGAGTTGCAAAGCTGGGGCAAACTACGCAGTGTATATTGGCAGGGGTGGCAGGAAGCCTGGTGAGAAGGGGTGGCAAGGGCTGGGTAATTTGTTAAGGACATAGGTGAGCAGGTGGAGATCCAGGGCGGAGGGTCATTCATTGAGGATCTGAAAAATGCAGCTGCACAGGCAGCTGTGTTCTTGGTCCCGTTTATCCCTGAGCTTAGAAGACAGACTCATAACAAAAGCTCAGCAGCTGATATAAGCAGAATTCCTACTCCATGGCCTCTTAATCACAATGGGCTCTCATACTGGGTAGGCTTACATTAACTCGCTATATCTGCAGGTAGTAGGGCTGCTGTTTCAGAAAGCCTGGAAGTATACTCAGGACAGTAAACTCAAATTTCATACTCTGGGTTAAAATTAAATCTACTTACTCTAAAAATACACCTATTTATTCGGCTATAAACAGGTAAAAAGATAATCTAAGAAAAATTATCCTTGATTTATGTCCAATTATAAGATTAATTAATGCACTGAAATATTTAACTTACTACAAAAAGACACTTAAAAAACTCTGACTCAGTTTTAGCCAGATACACCCTGCAGGTCAGACTCAGGTCTCAAGCAATCTCTGAAGGCCTCTGGTAGGAGGGAGGTGCTTCTAACATGTGCTTCTTAAGCACATTCCTGTTGCAGAGCCCATCATCATAATACAGTCCTTTATAATCCTCCACAAGGCCAGAATTACTGCCTAAGGACTCCATAGGAGGGAGTCAGCAATACTTCTAGACTGCTTTGCTGTAATTGTACCTTCCTTCCTAAACAAAAATTTCTCCCATTGAATCTGAACCAGACCACAGTCTTGGGTGAAATTTATTGTGTTTAAAGAGGAGAAGGCTAAAGTTCTCTAAAGTAATTTTGAAGTTTATATAATTTGTCAGTAAGCAGACTTATTTTAACCATTTCGGTGATAAGATTTCTCTTTAACCTCCTCTTACAATAAAGTGCTTTTATATGAATCTGTTCATATGCCACCCCCCAAGGTAAGGCTTACAGACTTATTTTATTAAATTTTTTTGGTAACGGGAATATTTTTTGGTAACTCATGGTCTTGGACTTGACAGGCAGGTGCTATGCCACTGAGCTATATCCCCAGCCCAACAAACGTATTTTATAGACAATAAAACTGAACTTAAAAATCATGGGAGTATTTGGAGGGAAAATCAAGAAAATTTCCCATTTTGTATAATAAAAGTTTCAAGATTGCTAATGAATTAAGGGTGATAAAGTACTAGTATATCACAGTGGAAAGAGCAGTAAACATAAGGATTTGAAAAAAATTTATGTTTTTATCATTAGATAGCTGTTTGATTTCAAGGAGAACATTTAAGTTTGAGTGTTGACTTTGTATCCAAGGATGCTGCTGAATTTGCTTATTAACTCTAGTAGTCTTTGGTGAAGTTTTGGGGGTCTTCTATGTAGAGTATCATGTTATCTGCAAATACTAGTAATTTAACTTTTTCTTTCCTACCCTTATACCTTTCATTTCTCTCTCTTGTCTAATTGCTCTGGCTAATATTACTAGAAATATACTGAATAGGAGTGGAGGGAGTGGACATTCTTGCCTTTTTCCTGATTTTAGAGTGAAAGCTTTCAGTTTTTGTCCATTTAGTATGACGTTGGCTGTTGATTTGTCATAGTTGGCTTTTATTAGATTGAGGTAGAGACCATCTATTCTGATTTACTGTAGGGTTTTTTAAAATTGTGAATGAATGTTGGGCTTTATCAAAAACTGTTTATACATCTATTGAGATGATCATGTGATTTTTGTCTTTGGCTCTGTTGAAGTGGTATATATGTTTACTGATCTGCATATGTTGAACCATCCCTGCATTCCTGGGATGAGTCCCACTTGCTCATGATGCATAATCTTCTTGATGATTTACTGCATTCTGTTTGCTCAGTATTTTACTGAGAATTTTTGGATCTATGTTCATTAGGGAGATTGGCCTGTGGTTCTCCTTTTGGTTGGGTCTTTCTCTGGTTTTCAGTATCAGAATAATACTTGCCTCCAGGAATGAGTTAAGGAGACTCACTTCCCTTTGAATTTCAGTTTGAGGAGTATTGGCATTAAAGTGTCTCTAAATTTCTTGTGGAATTCAGCTGAGAATCCATTAGGACCTGGGCTTTTCTTTGTTGGTAAGCTTTTAACTATGTTTTCAATTTCAGTAATTGATATTGAGTTATTCAAAATTTTTATATCTTCCTGATTCAGCTTTGGTAATTCATGCATTTCTAGGAATCTGTCCATTTTTTAATGTGTTTTTCAGTCTATGTGATCTTTCAAAATGGGCACTGAGATCTTCTGAATTTCCACAGGATCTGTAGTGATTTCATCCTTTTCATTTCTCATTGCATGAATTTGAGTTTTTTCTTTCCTTTTCTTGTTAAGGTTGGCCAGGAGTTAATCAATTTTGTTTATTCTTTCAAAGAACCAATTCTTCGACTCATTAATTCTTTTTATTGTTTTCTTAGTGTCAATTGCACTAATTTCTTCTCTGATCTTTGTAATTTCTTCCCTTCTTTTGGCTTTGGGCTTAATTTGCTCTTCTTTTTCTAGAAGCCTAAGGTGTAGCATTAGGTTATTTGTGCTTGCTCTATTTTCCTGATAGGAGAATTCGCTGCTATATATTTCCCTCTTAGGATTGCTTTCATTGCATCCCATAGGTTCTGGGGCATTGTATCTGCATTTTCATTTAATTGTAGATATTGTTTAATTTCTTCTTTAATTTTATCTGTGACACATTGATTGTTCAGGAGGATATTATTTAATTTCCATGTGTTTTTGTAGTTTTTGCAGTTTCTTTTGCCATTAATTTCCAATATCAGTACACTATGGTCAGATAATATGCATGGGATAGTTTCAATTCCTTTGCATTTACTTAAGCACATTCTATGGGCTAGTATACAGTGTATTTCAGAGAATATTCCATGTGCAGCTGAGAACAATGTATATTCTGATATTGTTGGATAGAACACCTTGTAAATGTCTACTAAGTCCATTTGTTTATGTCTGATTCACTGTTATTTTTTTGCTGAATTTTTGTGTAGCTGACCTCTTTTGTGCCTGTGTACCAGTTGGCTCACAGGAAGGGTGAACTGGCTTCTTTCTTCTTGAGACCCTCATGATTT